GGCTCCTCCCGGACAACGAGGTGAGCGGGGCTGAACCCCCATCCCCGGCGTTGCGGGGCTCCCGGGTTCAGACCGGCGCGGGATTCCCGAGCGAGGCACCGTGCAGCCCCCGGGGCTGTAACGGGGAACGCTGGCGCACGAGCAGGAGGGGAAGCACGGCGTCGAGGGACTGGCCACGCTGTTCTACATGGTGCACTGCGGGAAAGCCTTGTACAACAACCTCCTGTGGAGGAACTGGTCTGTGGGCGCCTTGTCCAAAATGGTCATCATCGGGAACAGCTTCAAAGGGATCGAGGAAAGGTGTGTGCACCCCGCCTCGGGAATGATTCCCGTGCCTCCAACAGCGTTTTCCTCTCCTTGCTTCCTTTACTCCTCCTTCTTACCACTGATGGCAACGATTCCCACGTTTGGCTCCTTCTCCCCTTGCTGTCCGGTTGGCGTCATCAACCACCTCTTAACCTTTTCCATCCCACACGCCTCTTCAGGAAAGCGGTCTGCAGTTGGCAGGAGGGTACTGTTTGACGCTGGGTGAAAAAAAACCAGGATACTGGAGAGAGACTATTCTTACATAGCAAAGGTAACGAGTCACTAGGTTTTTAACGTTATCGTTTTGTGTTGACAAAGCACCTTTTAATGACAAAATGATCAATGACTAACTGCAGTTGGAATGAGAGTGGATACGTTTAAAAGCTTTTCCTGTGGTATAGAAAGTGAGCTGCTTTAGGATCATTCTGCATTATCTGCAGAACACACGCACACACAGAGGTTTGGCTTAATGTAACACCATCCTCATCTTCATCAACTCTCACAGAAAAGTTCTGCATCATACTTTTTTTCCCCACATGCTCGTTAGGTTTTGAAAGGGACGGAGGAATTAGCGCTCCCTACTCACCCTCGGTACTCGGACACCTTTAACGACACCTCCATCCACTGGTTTCCCTTGGGAAAACTGAAGGAACTGTCCCCTGAGGTCTGGGACTCTGTGGAGGAGCCGACGTACCAGGAGTGTGACGACTTGGAGATCATCCGAAAGCAGGACAGAGCTGACCAGCGCAGTGCCGCTGCCTCAGAGTCCTGACCACTCCACCAAACGTGGTGGCACCCCAATGTCAATGTTTTTGTATCTTAGTTACTTAATAAAAGGTAAAGCTGTGCTTTGACTTATGCTCACTTAACTACAGTGAACCATTTTAACCAAAACCTGCCCTTTTAAACCATCTGTACTGCGTAATGCTCTTTTGATCCCCTTTTACGCAAACAGTTCAAAGCCTTCGCGCATGCTACGCCCATTTCGAAGCGTCAGGCAAGGGGAATTATTGGAGAGGGGGCTTCAGTTGAAGGGGTTGGTGTCTAGTTCCAAATGCAGGCTTATGAACGCGTTCTCACGGGCAGGGGCCTTCAGCTGCTCAGTGCCACTGAAATCAGCACTTTAGCCATTCCTCTGTGAAGAATGGGGTCATCTCTAGGAAAAAAGCGCCCTGGTTTCTTTCCCTCACCTCTGTGGTCCTGCAGTGCACATTCTGTGAACTTGCTGGGAAAATAACACCCCTGCTTCCAGCCCTGCGTTGACAGGGACGAGAGAGCACCCAGAGCAGCTGATGGCCCACCGGCAGGCTACAGCCACATACAGCCTGGCACACGGCTCCGGTTTCACTCTATTTACAAATCTGTAACTTCTTTATTCTAAGACAGTTACACCAAAAATATTAGGAAGATGCCCTTCACAGTTCAAAGCAGGGGCCTCACTTTGCCATGTCAATGAGGCTCTGGAGAGAGGTTGGCACCCAAGTCTTTTCTCCTTGTACAAACACAACTCCTCTGTCAATGTAAATGACAATCCGTCCAAACGTATACAACTGCTTCCCTTCGTGCCGCTTTCCAATCACAGGCATGAAGACAATGTTGTGCTCCTCTGCTTTTGTCTGAATTAGGTCCTTAAAGTTCATTGGCACGGAGCTGGCGGCCATGCCGATGCCACGCTGGGCCATGTTCTCGGCCTCCCGACGCTCCTGCATGGCTTCGTACTGGAAGTCTTTCCTCCGCTCGGTGTGAGTAAGATAGGCGATGTTCTCTCGAGCGCCTGGCTGCATGTACCCACCTGTTTGGAGAGACAAAACACGTCAAAACAAGTTGCCAGTTTGTTCCTAGCTCATCCCCTGGAAGTGTTCAAGGCC